CACTAAGGGGCCTAAAGTGTGCCAAGAAAACATCCCCCACACCATTACACCACCACCACCAGCCTGCACAGTGGTAACAAGGCATGATGGATCCATGTTCTCATTCTGTTTACGCCAAATTCTGACTCTACCATCTGAATGTCTCAACAGAAATCGAGACTCATCAGACCAGGCAACATTTTTCCAGTCTTCAACTGTCCAATTTTGGTGAGCTCTTGAAAATTGTAGCCTCTTTTTCCTATTTGTAGTGGAGATGAGTGGTACCCGGTGGGGTCTTCTGCTGTTGTAGCCCATCCGCCTCAAGGTTGTGCGTGTTGTGGCTTCACAAATGCTTTGCTGCATACCTCGGTTGTAACGAGTGGTTATTTCAGTCAAAGTTGCTCTTCTTTCTTTCTTTCTTTCTTTATTGTATTTATATAGCACAATTTATTGCAACTACAGTTGCACCAATGTGCTTTCCAGCAATAACAAATAAAAAGTAAATACATGGACATCACACATCACACATACATAGACAACATAGGACAACAACAGAGGATTTAGCCTCAACGCCCAGAGGAATTAAACGCCTGAGTTAATAGGTGGGTTTTCAGTAATGATTTAAAACTGGAAATAGTCTGAGCCAATCTAATGTGAACTGGTAACAGATTCCAAAGTTTCGGGGCAGCGATCCCCGAAACTGATCCCCCCCCCCCCCCCCCCCATGTTTAAATCTGGATCTAGGGATCGTTAAGAGTGACTGATCAGAGGACCGTAGGGATCTATTTGATGAATAACGTTTCACTAAAGGATCAAAGTATGCGGGTGCCAGACCATTTAAGGATTTAAAAACAAACATTAAAAGTTTATATTCTATACGGAAACGGATCGGCAACCATTGAAGAGAGTACAGAATTGGAGTAATGTGCTCACGCTTTTTTGTACCTGTCAGTAGCCTAGCGGCCGCATTTTGGTCTGTCTGCAAACGCGCCAACGCTGTCTGGCTAACTCCTGTGTAGAGAGTTTTACAATAATCGAATCGTGAAAAAATAAAAGCATGAATCACTTTCTCTAGGTCATTAAAAGAAAGAAAGCTCTTTACCTTGGATAGAAGTTTAAGATTAAAAAAGCAAGATTTAACTACAATCTTTATTTGCTTATCGAATTTGAGGTCTTTATCAAATAGTACGCCTAAGTTCTTCACAAGTGGCTTATTGTATGGCTAAGGGACCAAGATTGTAGCTTAGAGAAACTGTTTTTTCATTTAGTCCAAATAAAATTATTTCTGTCTTATTATCATGTAGTTTCAGATAATTTAAAGCCATCCAGCTTTTCACATCATTTAGACAGTCCAAAAGCAGATTTAAAGCATTCTTGTTGAATGGCAAATAAATCTGCCAGTCGTCGGCATAACAGTGAAAAGAGACACCATGTTTATTGAAAATAGAACCCAATGGGAGCATATATATCAAAAACAAAAGAGGAGCAAGAATGGACCCCTGTGGTACACCACAGGTAAGTGGAGCTAACGTTGACAAACATTCGCCAAGTTTAACTGCAAAACTACGATTTGTTAGATAAGACTTAAACCACTGAAGGGCCATTCCTCGCACTCCAACATGGTGTTCCAAACGAGAGACCAAGATGTTATGATCCACTGTATCAAATGCTGCACTAAGATCTAATAACACCAAAATTGTTGAGGATCCTGAATCAGCACTTAATAGGATATCATTATGAACCTTTAAAAGAGCAGATTCTGTGCTGGTGTTTTTCCCTGAATCCAGATTGAAAGGCTTCAAACACAGAATTATTCTCTAAAAAGGATTGTAAATGACTAATAACTACCTTAAAACCTTTGAGAGAAACGGTAATTTTGAAATTGGTCTAAAATTAGATAAATCTGTCAGATCCAAGTTCGATTTTTAAATAAAGGTTCCACTATAGTGTGTTTTAGATATGCTGGCACGGAACCCGTAGCCAGACAGCAATTTATTAGGATCAAAATATTAGGGCCAATGACATTAAAAATCTGTTTAAAAATATGGGTCGGAATAACATCTTGAGGACTAGAAGAAGGCTTCAAATGTTTGACTATCTTCGCCAGGGTCGAAATAGACACAGGCTCGAACCGATAAAAAACAGCAGAGACAGTCGCCGGCGGAATTAAAGGATCATGAACAGAGGGCTGAATAGAAGATCTAATACGAGCAATCTTATCCATTAAATGTATGCGAAAGGTTTCACAGGTTTGTACAGAGACATCAATACCATCTGAGGCTGGAGGATGTATCACAGCATTCAATGTACTAAATAAAACTCTAGAGTTATGGAGATTTTTTTCAATAAGATCAGAAAAATATTTGTCCCGCACAATTTGAACCATTTCCTGATATTTTGACAGCAGGTCCCTATAAATGTCATGAAAAACTTGTAGCTTATTTTTATTCCATTTTCGCTCTGCACATCTACACAACCGACGAAGAGCACGAGTGGCATCATTTAACCATGGTTCTAATTTTGGTTTAATACGTCTAGCCTTCATAGGTGCAATAGAGTCTAAAATATTGGTAGATGTAAACGTAAGAGAAGATAATAGCTCATCCGCACACAAGTGCGATGGTGAGCTTTCATAATACACATTGGAAATGGCAACCTCATTAAACATACTACAAAAAACTTCAGTAGTTTCATAGTACGACCCCTGAGAGGGGACACACAGGATTTCCCCACAGGGTATGATAGAGAAATTTTAAAAGCAACCGACTTATGATCAGAGAAACCAGTATCCGTAATTTCAAGATCACATACTGATAAACCATAAGATAAAACTAGATCCAGGGTGTGACCATGTTTATGTGTCGGGCCTGTCACAGACTGGACAAGATTAAATGAATCAATAAGATTTAAAAAATCTCTTGCCAGCACACTTGAGGGACAACACACATGAATATTAAAATCCCCGATCATCAAGAGTCTATCATGCTTCGTCATGAGTCCCCCTAAGAACTCAGTGAACTCCGAAATAAAGTTGTTATTTGTTTTAGGTGGTCGATACACCAGCACACATAGCACCGGATTTTGTAAGTCAATTTGCATCAGCTGAGCTTCGAAGCTTGTGAAGATGTTTGTCTTCATGTTTCGACAGTCAAAATTCTTTTTAAAGACTGATTCAATACCTCCTCCACGGCGACCAGTGGTACGGGGTGAGCTAAGGAAATTACAGTCCAGTGGTACAAGCTCTGTGAAAGGGCTCTGGTCGCGACCATTTTGGCCGAGATCGATTCATACGCTGGCCGTGACGCATAACACAGCGAGCGAAAATTATTTTGATTTACTCCCCCTCTGCGGAGATGAGGTAAAACTACCTGAGAAGGAGTTTGGTTTAGAATCGGGCACAGCAGGCTGAATCCAGCGGGATCGCGGCTCCACGCAGTGCCAGAAGATACACCGATCCGAAACCGGGCCACAACGGCGGACAAACAGCCAGGAGCGAGGCACCGCCAGAGACGCCATGTACACGTGGGGCGGCAGTGGCTCAGTGGTTCATGTAGGTTGTCTACAAACCGGAAGGTTGGTGGTTCAATCCCCGGTTCCACCTGACCAAGTGTCGAGGTGTCCATGAGCAAGACACCTAACCCCGGCTGCTCCCGACGAGCTGGATGGCGCCTTGCATGGCTGACACCGCTGTCGGTGTATGAATGAATGGGTGAATGTGAGGCAACATGTAAAGCACTTTGGTGACCATTGGGTCTGTTAAAGCGCTATATAAATGCAGTCCATTTACCATCCTCCATCTAGTAGAAATCCCGCCTCGCTTTCCGTGTCTGCGTCGCCGTTTTTTCCCGGAGGTGGCATAAGATAGCCGGCGAAGACTCTCTGGTATGGAAAACTCAAATGGAGGAGCAAAAGTAGTCGACTCTCTTAGGCCCTGTCCACACGAAAACACACTGAAACCGAACATTTTTGAAAACCCCTGCCAGGGTGAGGATTTTCAGAAACGCCGGTTACAGTGTTGTCGTGTAGACAGCGAAACCGGGGTTTTGCCTTGCGACGTCAGACTGTGCGCCATTATCCGCTGTGTTTGACGTCAGATTTGCGCTTCTGATTGGCCAACGTGGCTTTACGGTTAAGGTTCATATCGCCTGCTGGCGTGGCATGCTCTTGACCGCGCTTGATAGCGTGTTTTTGCGTTTTCATGTAGACAGAGACCGAGCATGTGTGGACGGGATTTTTTTTTTAAACCCTGTAGGAAAAACTCCGGTTATAAAAATACCCGTGTCCGTGTGGACAAGGCCTTAGATCCTGTTTAATCAGTTTTTCAACAGAGTATCGAATAGTGAGTAATGTTTGTTTGCCCACAGGACTGCTGCATACTGGATGTTTTTCCCTTTTCACACCATTCTTTGTAAACCCTAGAAATGGTTGTGCGTGAAAATCCCAGTAACTGAGCAGATTGTGAAACACTCAGACCGGCCCGTCTGGCACCAACAACCATGCCACGCTCAAAATTGCTTAAATCACCTTTCTTTCCCATTCTGACATTCAGTTTGGAGTTCAGGAGATTGTCTTGACCAGGACCACACCCCTAAATGCATTGAAGCAACTGCCATGTGATTGGTTGATTAGATAATTGCATTAATGAGAAATTGAACATGTGTTCCTAATAATCCTTTAGGTGAGTGTATGAAAGTGGTTAAAATATGGCCAGTTGAAATGTATGAGATTGTGAACAAACTGGGTTTATTAATGATAAATGTGGTTATTGTTTTTAAAATGCAGTACTATTGCAGAAATCTTACCTATTTCATTTATGTACGACTGACAAATATCCATCATTATGTATATAATTATGTTAAAACTGTGTAATCCAAAGGGATGGTCATTTTATATGCAGGTCATTTTTATATGCTTAACTGTAGGCCTAGATATTTTTGAACCTGCAACCACTAAAAAAATATAATCCATAAAACACAGAGTCGCCGATTCATTTGTATAGACCAACACAATATTCTACTCACAATGAAGCACGGTCTTGTACACTTGAGAGTAGCCATACTCTTTGTTCACATTCAGATCCACAGTAAAGACATAGCGCAGTTCCAGCGGGATCTGGGATCTGGGCATGTTTATAACGGCAGGGATGATCCTCTGGGATATGGGTCCCTCAGACAGGACCTGGTGCATCTGATATAAGCACCACTCATCCTCCAGAAAGTGTGGGGTGAGCAGAAGCACCCAGCAGTGGCTGTCCCGCACGGCCCGCAGGATCTCAGTGGACACAGCGCCGCCTAGAGGACAGTCCCGGTCCTGCAGGAAGCAGCGCAGGCCTTTACAGGGATCTTCAAGGAAACCGGCCAAACTCTGTGCTAGATCAAAGTCCTTCTCAGTGTGACACAGATACACGTCAAATCTGCGAGATGAGCGTGAGGATGAGAAGAGCACCGAGGGAAGAGGCTCTTCTGAGACAGACGGTTTCGCTGACGTCGAAGGTTTAGAGGAGGAAGACGAGGAAGAGGAGGAAGAGGAGATGGACGTGGTGTTGGAGTGTCCAGATGAGCACTCCTGAGAACACGTGCTTGCTTTGCTTTGGTCCGACTCATTCCTTTGTTTTCCAAAACGCTGACGAAACCAGCCTGCAAAATAAATGAATAATCAACCTCTAATACACAGAAGCATGGATATGTTTAACATTACCTGGTTTCTATGTATTTTAAATATTTATCAAATAATTAGTTTTGTATATAATATATAAAATGTATCACAACTCTTTTGTCAAGTACCGGTCAAAAGTTTGGAAACATTTTTGAACACACATTGTGATCATTTATTTGATCACAAATACAGAAAAAACTGTAATATTGTGAAATATTATTACAACAATTTAAAATAATGGTTTGCTATTTGAATATTTTTAAAATACAATTTATTTCTGTGATGCAAAGGTGATTTTTCTGCATCATTACTCCAGTCTTCAGTGTCACACGTTCCTTCAGAAATCATAATGAGATTTATGATCAGTGTTGGAAATAGTTGTGCTGCTTAAGTTTTTTATAACCTGTGATGCTTTTTTCAGGATTCTTTGATGAATAAAAAGTTTTTAAAATAACAGCATTTATTTAAAATAGATTTTTTTTTTGGTCACAATACACAATACCATTCAAAAGTTTGTAGTCAGTATTATTTATTTATTTATTTTTGAAAGAAATTAATACTTTTATTCAGCAAGGATGTGTTCAAATGAAAAAAAATTAATATGTATATTAAGATGTATAGTCACGATGTGGGTTCATGTCTTGTTCCTGTCTGTCTTGTGTTCCCCTCATTATTGTGTATTTGGTTTAGTCCTTTCTAGTTTTCCCGCTCCTCGTTTGTGTTCATGTTTTCCACCTGTGTTCTTAGTTAATTGCCCACCTGTGTCTTGTTTCACTCACCTGGTCCTCTGTATTTAAGCCCTGTGTTTTAGTTCAGTCCTTGTGAGTTCTTAATGTTGTAATGGTTGCTTTTTTCTGTGTCCCTGGTCTGAGTTTCTTTTGTTTGTTTTATTATTAAATGTGCTTGCAATTGGATTCATCTCTCCGCTTCATTCCTGCCTGCTTCGTTACAGAAGAACTCACCAACACTGAATCCAGCAGCATGTTCGCCAGTGTCTCTTCTCCAGCCACTGAGCGGAGGAGAGGCCACTCTTTTGAGGGGACCCGGTTGGTCAAGTTTCGTGGTACACGTGGAGGCCTCAGTAGAGGAGGTGGTCGAGAGGAGCCCCGACACCACTCTCCACGCTGGCCACTCTTCGACCCTGGGTTGGTGATGTCTTGCCCAGGGCCCCATTCGCCGCTGGTTCCGTCCAGTCCAGAGCTTCACGTCAGCCACGTCCAGCCAGAGACTGTTCACGTCACGTCTGCCCAGCCAGAGACTGTTCACGTCACGTCTGCCCAGCCAGAGACTGTTCACGTCACGTCTGCCCAGCCAGAGACTGTTCACGTCACGTCTGCCCAGCCAGAGACTGTTCACGTCACGTCTGCCCAGCCAGAGACTGTTCACGTCACGTCTGCCCAGCCAGAGACTGTTCACGTCACGTCTGCCCAGCCAGAGACTGTTCACGTCACGTCTGCCCAGCCAGAGACTGTTCACGCCACGTCTGCCCAGCCAGAGACTGTTCACGTCACGTCTGCCCAGCCAGAGACTGTTCACGCCACGTCTGCCCAGCCAGAGACTGTTCACGCCACGCATGCGCCGCCTGAGCCCTCAGTGACCGCAACACTGGCCATTATGGCCACAGCCATGTGGTGTGTGTGGGCTACGCACACACTTGAGCCGGTGTCCGCCGATCCTGCGCCAGAGCCCGCCGATCCTGCGCCAGAGCCCGCCGATCCTGCGCCAGAGCCCGCCGATCCTGCGCCAGAGCCCGCCGATCCTGCGCCGGTGTCTGTTCCTGTTGATGACCCCATGGCTGCCCCTAAGAAAATTTTGGGGGGGGTGCAGTAGGACCCTGGATGGGACCGTGAAGGCCGCACCGCCATGGCCGCCCGAGGGGTCTTCACCGCCGTCGCCGCCCGAGGGGTCTTCACCGCCGTCGCCGCCCGAGGGGTCTTCACCGCCGTCGCCGCCCGAGGGGTCTTCACCGCCGTGGCCGCCCGAGGGGTCTTCACCGCCCTGGCCGCCCGAGGGGTCTTCACCGCCGTCGCCGCCCGAGGGGTCTTCACCGCCCTGGCCGCCCGAGGGGTCTTCACCGCCCTGGCCGCCCGAGGGGTCTTCACCGCCCTGGCCGCCCGAGGGGTCTTCACCGCCCTGGCCGCCCGAGGGGTCTTCACCGCCCTGGCCGCCCGAAGGGTCTTCACCGCCCTGGCCGCCCGAAGGGTCTTCTCCACCGTGGCCGCCCGAACTGCCTGCTCCACCCTGGTCGCCCGCACAGCCTGGTCTGCCCACGCTCCATGGCCCAGGTCCACCATGACTATGTCCTGGTCCCGTTCCCCTGTGCGGGCCTGGCCCTCCATCCCTCCCCCGGGACCACCTCCGCGTCACCACCCTCCTGAACTATTTTTTTTGTTTTGACCCCATGGCTGCCCCTAAGAAAATTTTGGGGGGGGTGCAGTAGGACCCTGGATGGGACCGTGAAGGCCGCACCGCCATGGCCGCCCGAGGGGTCTTCACCGCCGTCGCCGCCCGAGGGGTCTTCACCGCCGTCGCCGCCCGAGGGGTCTTCACCGCCGTGGCCGCCCGAGGGGTCTTCACCGCCCTGGCCGCCCGAGGGGTCTTCACCGCCGTGGCCGCCCGAGGGGTCTTCACCGCCGTGGCCGCCCGAGGGGTCTTCACCGCCCTGGCCGCCCGAGGGGTCTTCACCGCCCTGGCCGCCCGAGGGGTCTTCACCGCCCTGGCCGCCCGAGGGGTCTTCACCGCCCTGGCCGCCCGAGGGGTCTTCACCGCCCTGGCCGCCCGAGGGGTCTTCACCGCCCTGGCCGCCCGAGGGGTCTTCACCGCCCTGGCCGCCCGAGGGGTCTTCACCGCCCTGGCCGCCCGAGGGGTCTTCACCGCCCTGGCCGCCCGAAGGGTCTTCTCCACCGTGGCCGCCCGAACTGCCTGCTCCACCCTGGTCGCCCGCACAGCCTGGTCTGCCCACGCTCCATGGCCCAGGTCCACCATGACTATGTCCTGGTCCCGTTCCCCTGTGCGGGCCTGGCCCTCCATCCCTCCCCCGGGACCACCTCCGCGTCACCACCCTCCTGAACTATTTTTTTTGTTTTGATGGGCGTCGGGAGCCGCCCATAGGGGGGGGGCTATGTCACGATGTGGGTTCATGTCTTGTTCCTGTCTGTCTTGTGTTCCCCCCATTATTGTGTATTTGGTTTAGTCCTTTCTAGTTTTCCCGCTCCTCGTTTGTGTTCATGTTTTCCACCTGTGTTCTTAGTTAATTGCCCACCTGTGTCTTGTTTCACTCACCTGGTCCTCTGTATTTAAGCCCTGTGTTTTAGTTCAGTCCTTGTGAGTTCTTAATGTTGTAATGGTTGCTTTTTTCTGTGTTCCTGGTCTGAGTTTCTTTTGTTTGTTTTATTATTAAATGTGCTTGCAATTGGATTCATCTCTCCGCTTCATTCCTGCCTGCTTCGTTACATATATAGTTAGAAAAGATTTCTATTTTGAATAAATGCTGTTCTTTTTAACATTTTATTCATCAATGAATCATCAAAAGAGTCTCACGGGTTCCAAAGAAATATTACGCAGCACAACTGTATCAAATCAGCGTATCAGAATGATTTCTGAAGGATCATGTGACACTGAAGACTGATGATGATGAAGACTTGATGAGCATAAGAGACTTCTTTCAAAAACATTCAAATATATCCATACTTTTGACCGATACTGTGCATAAATTTAAAGTTACTGACAGCCCCTAAAGGGACCTTTGCAAAAAATAAAACAATATATAAACTTTCACGTACACATGAATGTCCCTTTAGGGGCTCTGTACAAGAGCACCATGAATTTTACAATTATTTTCATCCCAACAGGACTCTAGACTTTTGACCTGCTGAACATTATCTAAAGCTTTACAGTAATGCTTATATCACTGTATTGGTGTTGTAATGTCCCACAATGACTGAGTGTTAATGTTAAAAGTGAATCATGTGTCTGCACTGTTTTGTTGTGCAATATCGCGACGACTGTGTCTTACAGCTCGAAATAGTTTTATGTAAATTTTGATTCATGGATCCTTTTTTTGCTGTCGTAATGTCAGTATCTTCTTGTGCTCCTGCTATCACAATCCAAACTCTTTATTTTTCCTTATAATTCTTAACTTCTGCCTTTATGTATGATAGACAAGACATTGCAACACGAAACTGAGACTTACCCATAATGCTGCTGGTGCGGTTTTCCTCCATTCTTCTCCATCCTTTCAAGCTATAAACTACAACAAGCACATGCAATATTGTACAGTACTGCACCTCATACCATACACACAACAGTAATTGTGTGTACGATAGAAAAAAAACAGTAATTTTCATACGATAGAAAGAAACTGCATGACATGCACCGTGTCGTTTGCGTAATGTTAATATCAGTTCCACATTTTTTCCTGGATCACTTTCACTTTTTTTAAGCCTGAATAGTTGTACATTTGTGATTGTTTTGAAGTATACTGCAAGTTAATATAGTCATTATAGCATATTCAAAGCATTATCAACAGGTACAATGTTAGACAGTGAGTAGATCCGCACTTACGGTTGTTTTAGGATGGAAAGAGAGATCAGGTCGTCATGCAGGCTCGGTGCAGAAGATATTTGAGGAAGTTCACACCATCGGAAGCGATGCGTCATTATGCACATGACAACATAACTTATGGCCGTTTTAACAAAATCATGATGATAACAATAACAAATAGGAAGACCATTTACAAAAAGAGGAAGTGCAGAAAGAAAAGGGTGTAGTTTTGATTTGGATTTACTATTGGCAGTCCAGTGCATTGCTTGAGATGGATCACAGAAAACTGAAACTAAAGGAGAAACAGTTTCCATTCAAACTTTGTGTTTTGTTGGGATTCCCCCAGTTATGAGAAATGGGTGGGGTCAATGATTCAAACAAGTCCAGAAATGAGTCAACTGTAGGAAGCTTTTTCACGCGCCAGTTACTTCATTAATATGCACTTGCATTCAACATGCATTAACATTAATAGGAACTACTAAATAATGTTACTTCGTTAACAAATACCAAAAAGTTCCATGGTTTTGCATCATTTTAAGATGTAAAAATGTCTGGATTGGGCAAGAATAAAAAGAAATTATGTTTTTATTGTTATTTAATAATTATCATAATTTGTAATTAACTTGTATTATTAATTATTCACTCAATATTCAAGAAACAAGGAAAGAACTTTGAAACTGAAATATGGAAATATAATAAAAATAGAAAACAGATGGTTGCTCAGTCTTCCGTAAGACTTTAACTCTCTGTATTTTTTTCTATATTTACCCCAAAAGAATCCTGACTTAGAATTTTCAAAACAATGTTCACAGAAAGTTATTTGACTGCAATAAGTGCTTTTTTTTAACTAGAAAAGAAAGCTAGACTGACTTAACAGAGCCTCAATCAAAGTCTGATTCCAACTTGAAATGTAGCCAATCCCTAAATTCTGAATGTTGCCGAACCGTGATCATAACAAGCAAAGTATATATGTAGCCTATGTGTGTGTGTGCATGAAATGGAGGTTGGTGTAGTCTTTTTCCCCCTATATTAGGGGCTTTCCACAAAGATGGTTCCCCTAGGAGAGTTTCCTGTATTCGGCAGTAGGAACTCTGAAGTGACGTAAGCCGCGCTTGTTGTTGTCGTTGTGACCTTTATTTTGCGTCAAGGGCGTCGGAAGCAAAAAAAATGTGGGTGGGTCATCCTCCAGATTTTTTTTTTACTGGAGTAGATTAGGGGTGTTCCCGAAGCCAAATACCTTATCTAAAATATCTATGCAATAATGAGTGAAGTGAATGAGTGAGAGTAAAAATGAAACGAGCGCAAATCCGTCTATGCGTGCATCTCTCAGAAACCACAGCTTGGCAAGAGTAATTTCAACTCAAATAGGATATTGTATATTATTGTATGTATTTTTAAATGATTTAAGCTTTGTTCAATATACAGGCTACTCGAATTAATTGAATCAGCACAGCACGACCACAAACCAAACGTCTCTGCGCGTCTCCGTCTCAGCAACCAGTTCTAGCCTATAATCAACTAAGATTAATATACATTAATTACTACATGATGTGTCTATTTAAATGTTTTCGTATGATGTCCTATAGGAACCTGAGACTCGCGCTTAGGACACATAAAACTCGTCTGGGAAAGCGGCACTAAAAGATGCTTTAAAACTTTCACAGAGACATCAAACAGAAAGCACAAAGCCTTTCTTTAAAGTGAATTTCGTTTTGTATTAATTGTATCTTAATTTTAATCAAAGGTTCATCAAACAATTGCCTGGATTTAATAAATAAGAAGTAAATATAGCAGACAATAATCACGACACGGAGGCGCCGGCGCATGACCTGGAGCTCGTCTCATAGATGAACCGAAACTCAGTGTATAAGGTAGCCTACTTGCCTCACAGACCAGAAAAAATATATATATAGTAAGCTTTCAAACAGAACAATTCAAAAAGAAAAAGAAAAACAGACTGCTCTGCTTATCCGAATGAAATGTGCATTTCTCTCTGGCAACGCGCCTTATACTGCAAAGATCGCAGTCAGCATCGTCAACTTCATTTTTGCAGCCGACACACACAAAAACACGTGTTTATTAATAAACAATTAAAATGTCTCCTTGCTATATTTGACATATTCATAATCATTACTTTTGCCGGTTCTTTGTGACAGCTTTTAGGTGCTTTATTGGCAGCGCCACCCTTACATGTTACATGAACGTGTCACACCGCGTCACCACACCTCCAAAAGAATCGAGGTTTGTATCGAATTGTGTGTCAAAAATCGTGATACGAACCGAAATGTGGGTTTGGTGTATCGTTACACAGCCCTATCAAATATAGTAACGCATTTTTTGGCGGTAACGGTAACGGCGTTATTAAAATGGGAATAGTAATTAATTAGATCACTGCAAGTGACTGAAAAGTGAGCAGACATGTGTGCTGAATTAGAGACAGTAAAGGTGAGTGGGTCCAATATCATTGGTCTTAAAAAGTGGGTGGGTCTTGTCCCACCCATATACAATGGTTCCGACGCCCATGTTTTGCGTTGGATTTTCTCCTCAGCGTAAAGGTTATAGGCCCATCTATCACTGATTTACATGTTCGTAGAGTTAGTTTCTGGAGTAAATATACAGGTCCTTCTCAAAAAATTTGCATATTGTGATAAAGTTCATTATTTTCCATAATGTAATGATAAAAATTAAACTTTCATATATTTTAGATTCATTGCACACCAACTGAAATATTTCAGGTCTTTTATTGTTTTAATACTGATGATTTTGGCATAGAGCTCATGAAAACCCAAAATTCCTGTCTAAAAAAAATTGCATATTTCATCCGACCAATAAAAGCCCTGCCCTTGATAAAACACAGTGCACCAACACCAGCAGCTGACATGGCACCTCAGACCATCACTGACTGTGGGTACTTGACACTGGACTTCAGGCATTTTGGCATTTCCTTCTCCCCAGTCTTCCTCCAGACTCTGGCACCTTGATTTCCGAATGACATGCAAAACTGAGCAACAGTCCAGTGCTGCTTCTCTGTAGCCCAGGTCAGGCGCTCCTGCCGCTGTTTCTGGTTCAAAAGTGGCTTGACCTGGGGAATGCGGCACCTGTAGCCCATTTCCTGCACACACCTGTGCACGGTGGCTCTGGATGTTTCTACTCCAGACTCAGTCCACTGCTTCCGCAGGTCCCCCAAGGTCTGGAATCGGTCCTTCTCCACAATCTTCCTCAGGGTCCGGTCACCTCTTCTCGTTGTGCAGCGTTTTTTGCCACACTTTTTCCTTCCCACAGACTTCCCACTGAGGTGCCTTGATACAGCACTCTGGGAACAGCCTATTTGTTCAGAAATTTCTTTCTGTCTTACCCTCTTGCTTGAGGGTGTCAATGATGGCCTTCTGGACAGCAGTCAGGTCGGCAGTCTTACTCATGATTGCGGTTTTGAGTAATGAAACAGGCTGGGAGTTTTTAAAAGCCTCAGGAATCTTTTGCAGGTGTTTAGAGTTAATTAGTTGATTCAGATGATTAGGTTAATAGCTCGTTTAGAGACCCTTTTCATGATATGCTAATTTTTTTAGACAGGAATTTTGGGTTTTCATGAGCTGTATGCATGGGCGTCAGTTTGGTTTGAAATGTGGGGGGGACAGAGACGCATTCGGAAGGGCATTTTTTTTTTTTTTTAAAGTGCTGGGTACAATGACGCATTCATTCTTTTTTCTCTTTCGCGCAGGTCATGGTTTGAAAGACGATGTCCTGTAGCTTACTGATTTAAATAAATAAAAATGTATACAAAGATGTGATGATGTCCGACCAAAAATGTGATGGTACTTTGGGTTTAAATTTAATTGGTCGTAAAATGAAATCTAATATAATGTTGTTAGTATCGTGAATTTTTACGTGAATAAATACATAGATACGTTCTTATGTATTGTAATGGTCCAGTGGCAGAATTTTTGCCAACCGTGTCGGAGGTTGAGGGTTCTAATCCGCACTCGTATAGTTTTTTTTTCCCCTCATCAAAACCGATAATGTTTATCATCAAGAATCTTGATATACTTTATCACTGATAAACATTATCGGTTTTGATGAGGGAAAAAAAACTATACGAGTGCGGATGGATTAGAACCCAGAGAAGCAGGGACACGTTTGTGTGCATTTTGAATTGTGATTTCTCTGGAACGAATAGAATCTCCGCAACGGATTGAAGCGCGCGTCCGAGTGAAGACAACACATTTCAGCGCTAGATCGCCTCTTATTTAACAAATGAATGAAACGAATGCTGCTAGTTAACTGGAGATGTTTTATTTGTATTGGTACATCCGTGACGCGAGATGTTTCAAAAGTGGTGGGGACAATATCGACCCTGGCAAAAAGTGGTGGGGACATGTCCCCCCCATCCCCCCCCGTAAATGACGCCTATGGCTGTATGCCAAAATCATCAGTATTAAAACAATAAAAGACCTGAAATATTTCAGTTGGTGTGCAATGAATCTAAAATATATGAAAGTTTACATATTACATTATGGAAAATAATGAACTTTATCACAATATGCTAATTTTTTTAGAAGGACCTGTATAATCTGTGTGTACAGTACACAATCTTTTTTTTTAAATGGCTGTTGCTGGTGTTTCGCGTGCGTTCGGCCAATCCGCGTAGCCTACACTAACGTCACGGGACTCACGGGTAGTCCCTAGTGCGGGTTTAGACCGACTCTGAAGTAGGAGTAAATTAGTTCCTCCAAAAGGAGTTCCTAGAACTAAAATCGTTTCTAGTTCCTGCGGTGCGAACACGGCGACATCCGGGTACTTCCGCCAATAGTTCTAGGAACTATTGAACGGTTCTTTTTTTTCTTCCTTTTTTTTATTAAACATTTACTTACGAGATACA